TTCTGTAGAAATGACAGATTTTGAGATTCCTTTTTCCATTTTCTGTGCTTTCCTCCATTTCCAAGAACCGCATACTTCTGCATCTCTAGAATGACTTAGTTCACTGTTCTACAGTGTTCAGAATACCCAACATTGATCTGTCTTCGAGAAAAACAATAAGTACATATGTTCAATCAGTTCTATTTGTCTGAAAAACGTCGAGATTAACCGAACTGCTTTGGAAAGGTCGCAGAGAATGCTATTTTTGTTTGAGTGAACAGCAGCGATTGGGCAGATTAGTCCTTCTGTGTAGTTCCAGTGAGCAACCGATATAGATATGGATGCAGGTAGATTTATTAATGACAATGTGAAGAATATAGTACGTTATGTGGACGATTTGACAAAGAAGTTTGTGAGAGCACGCAGGGGAATTGAGAAAAAAGAAAGGGGAAGATCATCCTATTCTTATACTTTTTGTTACAAAGGAGGATTGTACTGATACAAGAGTTTTTATCAGGGTAAAACAAACTGCTTTGAATCTTCGGGGATGGTGACGTAACAGTGGATGGTGTTGACCGGTGAATACACGTTTGTTCGGTCTTGTCTTTCATGCATTAGCTTTCGTTTATAAAAAAAAATTTTTACTGTTGATAGCAACATTCGAAATGGAAGGTAATGTTTGAAAGGTACATTCAGAAAAGAAGAGGGGCTGAAGTCACTTGTAGTGATTCAGGAAAGTGACCGCTGCACCGCATTCAAAGGTCAATAAGGGTTTGGTACCGAGTATCGAGCACAATGGAGCCATTGTCGGTTTGTGCATTTGAACTGTAAATGGTTTTCTAATTTTGGTGGTGAGTCTCAAAATATTCGATAGATAACACGTAGCATTTTTCTGCATCTAACAGTTGTGTTTTGCATGTGTGACGCCTACTTTAGATTATCCGATGCGTGCAGATCCAGTAGTTTATCTTACTGAGCGTCTGCAGAACACCCAGAATCACCCAGTCAGAGGTGAAAGGAACCACTATGCTGGATAAGGTTGGCTTTGTTAGGCTGACGAAGGAAGGTCCCTAGCTAATATCCTCTGATTTCGATGACCTTTTGCTATTTTTTAAGATTGGCCACTGGAGATCCTAATTCATCATTGTTTACTTTCCAAAACTCATCCACATGTGTGTTGACTAGCCAAAAGCTTTTAAACACTTATTCATATAGAGAAAAGTGCTCTCTTCAAAATGAGACGTCGCTGAGCTCTGTGCGATATCCCCATCAAAAGGCATAAGCAGTTTTCTAAGAGCACCTAAAACTCCGCTTTCCTTTTCTTTCATTCCTCTACATTCACTTTCCGGAATCATTACAAGTGACTTGAGCCCCTCTTCTTTTCTGAATGTACCTTATAGCTAGTTGCAGCGGGTTATTAAGCTAGTGTATTTAACTGGAGCGGCTTATTTTTTCATACTTGCCAAGTATGAAATAATAAGCAAGTATTACTTGGGAAGCTAATTGAATTTGGCTGACTTTGTTTATAATTGGATGTCATTTTCTATTCTGCTATTGTTATTTTTCTTTTTCGAGAATTATAATTTTGTTCCAATTTATACTGTACTGAGCCTGTTGGCTTATAATAAGCGCTGGGTAAGGCTGTAACGAACGGTGTAGTGGCGTGAGACTCTTTGCTTGCCGGATCAGTATATTTGGTTCGATTAAAAACGAAGATTAACCATTTTTCTTTTTCCTTCTCGATCGTTGTTTCTTTGTTGCTGCAGACAGCTGCAAACTGACCTAATCATTCTGTTTAGTTATTTCTTTTTGTAGTGAATCTGGCTGTTGTTGGGCCTCTGTGACTAATCTTTTTCGTTGACTGGCTTCGCACAATTCTAAGGACAGTATCTTTTGATAATTTTGTTCGATGAGACGATGCCGGATGTCAGTCTAAGGCTTTAATCAATTTGGCCTGAATTGTTATTGTTGTCATCTGTGAATTCACTACCTTTGTCAGTCAGTTGATGTTTACTTCCAGTGTCTCTCGTTTCCCAATAAATGAAAAATTTTTCAATTCTTTCTACAGAAATTTTACCATCTGTCATTCGTTTCACTTATTCTTCGGCGAAGCACACGAATCTTTTGCTGGTGATCCTCAACGCTTTTCTCGAATGTTCAATATGCAGACGAGGGCATGATGAGATCATGAATGTATAGTTTCGAGTGATGAAACGTCTTCTGCTGATGCGTTCAGTGTGTCTCGGAAGAGTATCTTGACGGCATGGACTCTTGATTTTCTTTGGTTTCTTCCATTTTCAAGAAACGCATACTTCCGCACCTCTAGAATGACTTAGTTCACTATTCTACGGTGTTGAGAAAACCTAAAATTCAAATTTCTCATACGCTCCGAAAGCGGCTCCGTCTTAAATGATCTTTCCTCAATTTTGGTTAAGCTTCAAAACATGTCGATCATTAGTTTATAACCCAATCCAATGCAACTCTAGTTGTTACATCATCGATGCGTATATAACAATATCGCTTTCTCTACTTGAGTCACCACAATACACGAGAGACTTCATCAGACAGCTACAAACTTTTTTCTCACATAAAATGTGTCTCCAGATTGCACTCTCAACTTTGCTTCCAGCTAGCACAACGTCAACAACATCAACAACGTCGACTACTACCAGCACCAGCACCTCAACAAGTGCATCAGTGGCAACAAGTGAGAGAATCTTGCTGTGGAAAACCTCTGACGATCGGCTTCTCTTGTTCTCTAGGTTCATCATCAACCGAAACATCCAGCTCGACGTCAGCGACAGGTGAGATGCTAAACCTGAATAAAACTGTAATTCCTTGCACAATGACTTGCGGCTGAGTGAGATATGGAAACGTTTCTGCAAATTATACAAGAAAACGTCTGTGAACATAGGTGCGTCCAAGTGAAACGATCTCTTAGGAAGAGACACAGTTTTTTCCAACCGTTTAATCGACCTCGGTCAAGATCAATTAACTGCTCGCTTCTCGATTAATTTTGTCAGCTAGGGTGCATCTGCGAATGACCCTCTTCTCATTGCTTTTTTGTTAATTCCAGCCAGCACCATATCAACAACAAACAGGTTAACCAGCTCGACGACCACAAGTACATCATCAACAACAAGTAAGAAATTCCATACGGCAAAAAGTACTACCATTCCATTAATTCTTGTTCTCCACCAGGCTCGACAACTTCGACATCAACAACAAGTAAGTGTTCTCAATGATCCAAGAAAAACCGACCCGACCTTTTGGGTTATTAATCTACATTCACTTCCCCCTGCATCCAGACGTAGTGAAGATGAATCTAGATTAATAATCCAAAATTTGGGTCCTTTTGCTTGAAGAGTTCTAATAATTCGTAAAACGTCGTCTGTCAGCAGAGTCCGTTGAGACGTTGTCTTATTTCAGACTTGCTCAAAACATTATTTATGTCTTAACGCCATGGACCAGCGGTCTGACCGCATACTTAGTACGTGGTACCGTACAATACAGCTACTTCCGCTAGTCCCCGTGACTTTCCAGAAATGACTTACGCAGAACAGGTTAGAATAGTCGTTAGTTGACTATTCTATGGTGTTGAGAAAACCTAAAATTCAAATTTCTCATACGCTCCGAAAGCGGCTCCGTCTTAAATGATCTTTCCTCAATTTTGGTTAAGCTTCAAAACATGTCGATCATCAGTTTATAACCCAATCCAATGCAACTCTAGTTGTTACATCATCGATGCGTATATAACAATATCGCTTTCTCTACTTGAGTCACCACAATACACGAGAGACTTCATCAGACAGCTACAAACTTTTTTCTCACATAAAATGTGTCTCCAGATTGCACTCTCAACTTTGCTTCCAGCTAGCACAACGTCAACAACATCAACAACGTCGACTACTACCAGCACCAGCACCTNAATCTACATTCACTTCCCCCTGCATCCAGACGTAGTGAAGATGAATCTAGATTAATAATCCAAAATTTGGGTCCTTTTGCTTGAAGAGTTCTAATAATTCGTAAAACGTCGTCTGTCAGCAGAGTCCTTTGAGACATTATAGAGACGTTGTCTTATTTCAGACTTGCTCAAAACGTTATTTATGTCTTCGAGCCACGGATCAGCCGTCTGACCGCATACTTAGTACGTGGTACCGTACAATACAGCTACTTCCGCTAGTCCCCGTGACTTTCCGGAAATGACTTATGCAGAATAGGTTTTACTTAGAATAGTCGTTAGTTGACTATTCTATGGTGTTGAGAAAGCCTAAAATTCAAATTTCTCATCAAATCTCCCCACTTTGCTTCTAGGTCACACAACGTCAACAACGTCGACTACTACCAGCACCTCTACGAGCACATCATCAACAACAGGTGAGAAATTGTTGTACATGTTGGTGTACATGTAGTAAATATTCTAGATTGCTCGTCTTCTTGAAGGTGCTTCCACATTAACCAGTTCCACCACGACATCAACAAGTACATCATCAACAACAAGTAAGAAATGTTGTAGATGTAGTAAATATTCCACATTGCTCTTCTTTTCGCAGGTACTTCCACATCAACCAGTTCCACCACGACATCAACAAGTACATCATCAACAACAAGTAAGAAATGTTGTGTGCGTACTGAATATTCTAGATTGCTCTTCTTTTCGAAGGTACCACAACATCCACATCAACCAGCACAAGGACCACCTCTAGTACGTGGTACTTTCAGGCGTGGAAAAAGTTTTTGTTGAACAGTTTCCTTCATACTCTGTTCTACCATTGTGTATCTCGGTTTTTCTAGCATCAAGCACCTCAACTAGTACCAGTTCGACAACAAGTAAGAGTGTTTTCGTCAGTAAACATATCATCATCCGGCACTTTCCTCTTATGTTTCAGGTTCAACCACATCGACGACCACAACAAGTACCACATCCATATCAACCAGCTCGACGTCAACCAGTACAAGCACCACCTCTAGTACGTGCTACTTTCAGGCGTGGAAAAAGTTTTTGTTGAACAGTTTCTTTGACACTTTGTTCTTGCACTGTGTATCTCGGTTTTTCTAGCATCAACCACCTCAACTAGTAC